CCCCATGTTCAGTGTAGCATGTACATCCATCTCTTCACTGCAGCCCAAAAAGAAAAGAGTTACAGGCAGCTGCTAGCTGGAAGGGAGGGAGGAGGAATGCATAGAGAAGAGCTTTTGCTTCAGATAGATAATGCAACCATGTGATATGCTTCGTTTTAAGTGTGTAAGTGATCTCCTAAATGTCAATGTTAAATCAAAGCAGTCGCACAAGTGCTTTGCTGAACTACAGCCCAAGTCCTGTAGCTGGAACGGCAACAATTCATGCCTCGGTTGCACAAAATCAGTCTCTAAGGAGGACCGAAATGACGGACATCCGCAGACAGTCTGCAGAGGGATTTCAGTCACGGTCACAACTTTTCCCTGAAGACAGATGATTGGCAAAGGAAAAGTCTTCTTTGGTAACCAAACTGGAGATAAACAAGTCTTCTGGTGCACAATATGTGCACATTTATAATGCTATTCAAGCAGTAGCTGCTAGGTTACAAATTACCAAACCTGCAGTTTCCAGATTTCTCTTATTTTTTTCTGCCTTGCATGTAAGTTTTCTTATTTAAAAAAAAAAAAAAGGAAAATGTCCATATTAAATTTAGAGCCTCGAGCATAGAAACAGGCTGGCAAAAAATGCTGAGGAGAGACTCACAAACTGTAGGGGTAGTCCTACAGCTGTTCCTTAGCTGTAGTCTAGCTTAAACTTCAGTGCATCTCCGCCAGTTAATTTTCTAGAGATGGTGACACTGTACACAGGGAGTCCCTTCTGAGCTTTTCAACTCTGGAAGCTTCTTAAGGACGTGGAGCTCGTGTCAGACTGACACAGATGCAGTTACAGCTATGTGTGAGCACCAGCCAATTTGTTTAGCCATGTCACTGGGAATGAGTGACTGCCAAAGGAAAGCTGCAATCCGACCTCATCTGGGAACTGGATATAAAAGGAAGCGGCCCTTTCCCGGTTCCCACCTCCCACAGACTTCCAGCCTCTCTACTATCCACATGCCCTTCCCCTCAGCTGATACACAGATGCAGCACTATACACCAAAACCAAAAGCCATCCCTATAGCATTTCAAGAAACACTCCTCCAAAAAAGAAGAAGAAAAAAACAAAACAAAACATAAAAACCTAGGGAAAGGGAAGGCATGGAAAAGACATTTTTTTCTGCAGTTTTATTCACTCACTTTGACTTCAGACTAGTTCTTAGACACAGCTTCCCTTTGGCAGGAGCAGTGTCTTAAAGTCTCTTTCAAAAACAAATAAATTAATTCCTAGTGTAAAGAATATACTTCACTTTGTGCCAGTATAGTATCCACTTTTTCCTTTACTGGCGAACATTCATCACGTACACCTTTTCAAATGGATGAAAAAGTCTATCAATTGACACATTTAGGATGCAAACAAGCAAATATAAAAGCAGCTAAGACCGGCATGCAAACAAGCCAAAAAAAAAATCCTGTATTAATAGTCGTTCTCTATATCCTGCATGGCTTCCAGGACCAGAAGCAATTCAATATTTCCCTCTTCCCCCAATCAAACCGGGCTGCGCCGGGCTCTCCATGTGGCCAGGGGCTATTGCCCGAGCGGCTCCCGGCAGGAGCAGGCGCGCCAGGTGGGACACGTACCGCTGTGGAGCCCGAGGAGGTGGCCACAAACACTTTGATCACCATCTTGACAGCGGCACAGGCGATCCGGCAGCGCCCGGGCTCAGCCGCGTCCCAAATGATCCCGCCCGCAGCTCCCTGCCAGCTTTGGCTTCTCCCGCTCGCTCGGGCTCCCGGCCTTCCCTGCTCCATTGGCTCCGCGGCATTTCGGGATGAGGGGCCCGCAGAGGATTGGTCAGTAAGAGGATCCCTTAGCAGGGCACTTGCACCTGCCCCTGGCCTTATCGCGTTAGATTGACGGGGTGGCAGCCCAAAAAAGGCAAAGGAGCGTAGTGCACCAATGAGGCCCGGCTGGATGGATGCTTGGGACAGGGGGAGGGAGGCAGGCACAGGAGAGGGAGCTCGGTGCTGCAGGGATCAAAATAAAAACCCTGCAGGGCAATCTCCGAAGTCACGCTGATGCTTTGCCAGGTGCCCCTTGCACCAAAAGGCTCCTGTCCTTTCCCTTCTCCACCAGAAAGGTGACTTCAGAGTTGCAGCTGCAGGTTCTATTGCAAAGACCATGCTGAGGGGGTAAGCGCACGCGTGGAGCAGCAGCAACACAGACCGTGTGGACGTAATCCCAGGCACAGAGGCCGGGAGCTTTCAGAAGCTCAGATCGCAGCTCCAACGCATAGCTGAGGCACTTCTGTGGTATACATGTCAGTGTGTTCTGCCGCTAGGGACCGTGGCTTGGCTGCTGCCACGTGTCCAGAACCTAATACTGGATTTTCTCCCTCTTCCTGCACGGCCAGCTAAAATTCCCGGGGCATAAAGGATAGGAGGGAGCTGGTAAAATTCGCTCCATTCCTCCATGCTATCCAGGATGCCCTCTTCCCATCAGGCTGTTGCCTTGTGCCACAGGGACGGTCCCAGTTCAGTGCCTGCATGCATATGTTTGTTAGGGGAGCCCTTTGGGCAGGTATTTCTTAAAATGGGAGATGTTACCAGATGGCTTTCCAAATGTCAAGGGCCAAATTCACTTCTGCTGCAAGCAGGCAGAGTAGCCTAGGGTTCAGCAAAATGGAGCCTAAGTCAGAGCTGGAAATGGCCAAGTGTTGACACACACACCAAGCATCAGGGCTCAACATCGCAGCGCCCAGCCCTGAAAATCCCCAGGCTGGACCATAGTGCCTCTAAGGTCAGCTAGACAGGGCCAGCCGTTCAGAAGTACCATTCCCAAATTAGCTGGTTTGGCACCCTTGAGATGTAAAAGTTATGGGCTCCGGCAGCCGCTTGCTTCAAAGCATGCTAGAAATTGCTGTGATGATAGCAAAATCTACGACTAGCATTGACCGAGAGGTGAATGTTTTCACAGCCAAACTCTGGTGGCCAAGACTGAGGAATAAAAAAAAAAAAAATCCGCTGTAATTATCCGCATGGGATTTCTCCTTTGGAGTTTTTTTTAAGTAT